AATTTCATAAATTAAGAGAAAGATGTAAATTTTGAGAGCTAGCATTGCTGTCCACTAATATATGACATAATGTCAAGCATAAAACTTTTAAAAAATCGATATTTTCCAAGTGCAATATTGCAATTTATGCTACAGTAGATGTTGCGGAGGAAAGATCCAGACATGGTGTATCTGGCATACAGACACCATGCGCGAATAGGAGTTACACCATGCTTGGGTCTTTTGTTCCATAGTTATTACCATTCATCACCGTGGTATATGTAGCATCTATTATTTCTTCACACTTGTGTATGTCTCATATGACTCACTGACTCGTGGCGTATCTACGACATATTTACTCACAAATTTCCCCACCTGCAGCATCAGTTCATATTATTATTATATTGTGAATGGTTGAATTTCTACACGAACTGAAAGCACAGTTATCGTCCCAACTTTTACAGGTCTGCTACAGTGTAGAAATTGAACAGTTTAAAATTTCCTTAATATGATGCTTTCATCCCAACTTGTACACACACACACTTTCAGTTAGTGTAAAAAATGAACAGTTTATAATTCCCTCAATATGACTAACAGTACTACACAGATCCATTTTTGTCAGTACGTACCCGTGAACCCCGGGGCGCATTCACACTTGTAGTTCAGTACATAATCTACACATATCACGTTATCTCCGGGACACACAACACCCACGCAGTCATCAAGATTTGTCTGGCAGTTCTCTCCACTGAACCCCGCCGCACATGTGCATGTGTACGTGTTAAGGCCGTCATTACATGTGGCACCGTTTAGACAGGGGGATGAGGCACACTCGTCGACTTCCTGAAAATGGAAAGAAAATTCAGTTGTTAAAATGGATAAAAATTATCTGATGGAAAATATGATTATACATAGTGTTTTAAGGGCAAACTAATATCATTAAAATGAAAACTGTGTGGAAATATTTTGTGTCTTTCTCATTTAATAACTGTATAAAAACTATAATGTAGTCTCCAGTAGCTTCTCTCCATACATGTAAGTATGCAATAAAATCAGAAAAACAACAAGTTAAAAACTGCTACGTCAAAGCTGTAGATCTTTGCTTAGTCTAAAATTAAACCAAAACAATTTCTATGAACTGCTGGAGGGTTGCTAAGTTATGTATACGTATTCGTAAAAGTCGAAATATAGTCTTTACATACCCTCTCACAATTATTGCCATCATAACCTGGTGAACATATGCAGGAGTATGTCCCCTGGTTGTTCTGACAGGTGGCGCCATTTTGACACGGAGAGGCGGAACACTCGTCCATGTCATCAGTACAGTCAACACCAGTGTATCCTGTATACCAGAGAGAAATGGATGTTACCACAAAAATATGGGAGAAAATTGAACAAAAATGGATAAGAAACTCATATACAAAATTTTTCTTTAACTAATCACTATAAATGACTAAACTTCATGAAAGTTGGGTAACAGGGGCAGTCAGAAGCCATCTTCTGGGGTTTTTGGAAGGCAGTCAAAATTTTTCCAAATTTACATTCCATCTTCTTTTTTTCTGTTGGAAGATGGTCAATATTGGAGGATGGATCAACAAAGATAATTTGGAAGATGGTCGGAAAATATCTCTGGATCTGCTCCCAGGAAAGTCTCATCATGAGCCAGGACTGAGTGCAGTAGTTGTAAACATTTGGACATCATATACCTGCTACCACTGATGTATATACATATTATGAACTTGTGCAGGTAGAACGATTTTTAAAAACATCTTTTCTTCTCTTTCCCTCCCTTCCATCTTACCTGTCCCTGTGCAGTTACAGACAAAGCTGTTGATCTGGTCCGTACACTGGCCGCCATTTTTACACGGCTGGGAATCGCACTCCTTCACTTCATTCTCACAGTGGGTACCCGTGTAGCCTGAAAACCAGCATGGCTTGTATGATAAACTCTTTCTAAATTGCTTTTTTTTAAATTATGAAATCAATTCTTATTCAAAGTCTTTATATATAAAAACAGTTGTTCTGTGGTCTTCTTCATGAATATCTTTTAAACATGCAATATGTCAACTCTTGCAATACAAAATACACTTGCATTAATGAGGCTATCTTGATAGATAAGTGTACATCATACTCATGAAAAATAAATGAATAATTTGAAAAATAATAAAGTCCAAAAATAAAAATAAAATAAGATGACATAAAGTGAAATAATTTTAAAAAAGAACAATCAAAACAAAAGAAACTTACAAAAATGAAAAATAAAATAAAAGAACACATAAAATAATCAATACTACTTTATTCTTCTATCTAATTCCTATTTTCTTCTCCTATCTTTCCCTACCTGGAACACAGCGGCATTCATACAGCCTGGTCTGACCAGTAACATCCACACAAGTTGCACCATTCTTACACAGCCCCGTCTGGCAGCCACTGGCACCTGGAGAGATGGAAAGGATACAGGGATTAAATATAGGTGTCAGCACTGGCTGAAATACCAGTTATTTTTAAATAAATATAAATATTAAAATATGACAGACAAAACTCACAAATGACTCTGAAAAAAGAACTTCTGAAATGTGAGATTCCTTTTACTTTATTCACAAAACAATTGATTATAAATCAGAGAATTCATTTTGTCTCACTGATGGCAATTCACATTAATTCATATTAATAATATGACTGTTTTTAACCAGCTGACTGTCAGTCTCAGACATGCTGAAAATGTCTGTCCTAACTATCATGACGTAAAAAAAATTCAAGGACTGGTAAAAATTGTGTTCAGTTGGTCCAACGGACCTTCAATTATTTTGAGCAACTTTTAGAAAAGTTTTAACATAATCAGTAACTTTCTCTAAATATATGTTAAGCTTTCAAAGACCGTGAATACATTCAACTGTGTTATTTTTCTGTTTGATAGCTTTATTCATACAAGCAGCTTCAGGTGACCCTGACAGCCATGCTGTTACAGCACTGTAATACAGTAATGACTCGATCTTTTCAATGGGCAAAAATGATCAAACTTTCAGACACATCATAATAAAACCATGTATAGCATTTGTGGTGTTTTTAATACATAGATTAGAACTATAAGGTAGTCTGCTTTCCCATTTTGTTGCTACCACTTAATAGGATTCCTCTTGTTTTAACAAATTAAGACTTAAAAAATACAGTGTCTGTAAAATTCACAACTTTCCCCCATTGAAAAGATCGAGTCATTACAGTAGTTATAATATCAGCTGATCTTTAACTCGAGCATACCACATATCACAATATGTCCCATCCTGCCTACTCCTTCTCCTATGTCACTTACCCTCTGCGCTCCCATCAGTCACAAAAATCATCAACAAAGTCAGTAATGCTGTTGTTTTCGCTGTTATAGCGCGACATTGTACCATGGTGTAACTGTGTGACCAAATGTGACAACCTCACTCAATATTGTCCCCTGCCCACAGATCATTACTCATGTCCCTATCTAACCAGCCCTGGATGGGTTGTTGTTGACAAGGGAGTAATTTGCCACGGGTTTACTCAGCTAAGACACTAAAGGGATTGTTCTACGGGGAGAACAACATGCAATCAAAGACCCCATTTCCAGAGACTAGATCGATCTACTTTAGATCGACCTAACTCCCTGGGGGTTCACGCTAAATAGCTGTCAGCTGGGCGGACACAAAAGTTAATTACCCCCTTACAGCTTGTAGTAGGCGGGACGGACATTTAAGCTGGATTATCTAACAGTAATCTAGTGAGACTCCCCACGGGGATAGATCGATCTAAAAGCTCTGGGAATACAGCCAAAGGCAGCCATGTGAAACCTCCTCTATTTGCTCTTATCAACCATGAGCTGTCCTTTCCTATTAGATCTTGTCAGATAACTACAGGTAGCATGCCATCTATTAGTTCTCTGTGAGTATGACTACTGCTTAGTCATTATTCCTTTTCATATTACATAAGACACGTTCTTAGATATAATAACAAGGCACAGTCTGTAACAAGCATGTTTACAAATAAGTTCAGTTGAGTTTGAGAAAGTATTTTAGTCTCAGTTGTCTGGTATGTAAACCTGCTCAATTTACAGTTGCACACCATTTGCATATGGGAACTGTTTGATTCTATCTAATATTTTCCTTTGGTATTAAACAATTGCTACTTTTTATACCAATTAATTACAATGCATACATTTTTAAAACTTTTTAACAACAATTGCAAACATAATGAGTTAAATGTTGTAAATATTTTTTTTTTGTTTATATAGGCTACTGGATGTTTATGGATCCAATGACTTTTCTCATGGAATGATGTAATCAAATATTCATCATCATATTTCTTTTTTTTTTAAAGCAATTTTGGTATTGTATTCAGTGACACTCTAATCCTGATACGAATGTATGTTAACAAAGGCCCATTTTTAAAGAAAAACAAGAACATTTAAAACTTAAACGGAAAAACAAATATTGCCCAGATAAATATCATAATTATCTAGAGCACAGTGCACATTTTCCGAGACCATTACATTTTTTTTGGTATAAAATCAGAACCAAATCACTGCTATAATTTTATTTCTACACTGCACTCATAATCCCATTTTTAAAAATTTAAATAATCTTTTTTAAAAATATAATTTTGTACTCAATTTCCAAATCTCATCAACAAAACCTTGGTTATACCATTACACTGGAAACAAGAGGAGTCTTAGTCTGTTAATATGATTGCATTCAGTGAGCCCCCTTGGAATTAGTGCATATATTAGCTAGGTGGACAAAATTCAAATTGTTAAGAAATAAAGTATTTGGGCAGACCTAGACAGACAGTGAACCTCCTCTGTCATCTACTGTTGAACTGACTACTTGACTACGACTGTCTGGTGACTGACTCCCCACATCCTGTTTTACACAGGGTAAATATACAATGAACATCCTCTGTAGTCTGCTGTTGAACTACACAACTATGAGCTGATGAATCATGATATCCCATGTTACACAGGGTAAATATACTGACAAAAGCAAGATCTATGTATACAGATGGTGTCTTTGAAAATGAGCCTGTTGAAACTCGGGGCAAGTGGGTGGATCATGATGGAGACACATAAAAAAAAACTTATCTGACGAAAGTAAGCATGCTTCCCAGTGCCTTTTGAATACCCTTCCCTGGTCTTATCTTTTCCATTTTAGCGTCTGTTTTCTATTTTTCTGGTGACTTTTTATTTCCTAAGCTGACTAAAACTAGATGTTCCTGGATTCAGATTTTATTTAAAATAATTCTGCTTTTAAATATTTAAACAAATAATTTTTATAGTTGTATTATTTAAACTTATAGTAATATTTTGGATTTTTTCGAAGCTTCTTAGATGTTCTTCAAAATTTCAAATTATTTTTATCCAGAAATTTCCCAGCTTAAGTTAACTTTTTTTCACTATCTCAGCCTGAAATTGTTAGAGCAGGTCAACAGCTGAGAAATGTCTAGCCAGCTTAGAATGAGGAGAAGGAAGATAAACTTTCTTTTTATCCACAGGGCAAGAGAGACATTTCAAGAGAATGAGCACCTGGTACAAATGGAGGGAAGCAGGAAGCTCTTCCAATACAAATCTCCTTACAATCTAGAGTGCTTTATTTACGAAACCACCTACATAGTTATTGCACATTTTATCCAATAATCTAAAGGCAGCCATACTGCTACTTTGGAAACTGAGGATCTCCTTTTGCAGTCCAGTGCCTTAAATATTTGTGAGTGCTAAGATACCACACACAAACATTACCCTGCCCTGAAAACTAAATGCATCTCCTTATCTTGGACCTTTCACAGGCACAGGGATGAAACTCCTGTTTGGTGAAAAAGCTGGAAAATATAGTGTGGCAGCCAATGCCAATGGTATTTTTGGGTCCTAAAGTCCAAAAACTGCCAACAGTCAGAAAAATCTTATCCCTGCATGTAGACTAAAATGCCATGAATGAGAATGAAGATTTAGATATCTCAAGGACTGGTTTCTTATAAGGACCTCAACACTTATCCTTCCTTATGCCAGATGTTTCGTAAACATTGGAATTATGGCTTCTAGAATAAAACAAGTACTGTATGTACTTAGTTTACGAAACAGGAGCATTTTTCTATCATTACTCCATTCATCCATATTCTACCATTACTGGATGGCATTTTATTTTATTCTATGTCAATATATATCTCACCTAGGTCTGTCTCACAGTTTCTCCCACTGTACGGAGGGGGGCAGACACAGGTGTAGTTCTTGAATCCGTCCTGACAGACTCCTGCATTTTGGCACGGCTGACTCCAGCAGTCGTTGATGTCAAAGTCACCTGAAACGACATACACCTTGTAATGCAGTAGTGGACTCTCCGAGCCTCACCATTCAAACTGAATGTTTATTTTCATCAGAACATGATGATGCAAAAGCTACAAGATAAATAAAAGCAAGTGAGCATGTGCTCCGTTTTCAATTTCATTGACTCAAGTCTGCAATAAGATGGCTGAAAGTGTTCTAATAAAGTTAGCTCTGGCAGTTACTCACTGATGCCAAAATTGTTAAGGATTAACAAAAGAGTACCTTCTTAATTGTTTGATTAACTCCACAAAATGCATCTTTTAATTTTTCAGCTTATTATTTACAAGAATGCAAGAAACGTATTAGTTACAAAAATGCTGCAGTTAAAACTATTTTCAATGGGTGAATTTTTAGAAGTTCTAACAAGATTCTTTTCTCAACTACAGCAATCATGACCGTTTCCAATGTATGAATAGTATTAGCAGCCTTTCAGCCTCCCTGTTGCTCTATCCTAACTTAAGCCTCTTTATCAGTTTTGCAGAGGTCTATATATTTCTTTGAGCCAATATTTACAACCAGGTGAGTGTCCCAAGAGTAAGCAGTTGCCCAGACAGGAAGATATCAATGCAGTGAATACATGGAAAGGATGAGTGTTATTTTAAATATGAAATCTGACACTGTGTCAACATCCTGAGATATCATCAGAAAGACTCGTGAAGCTTTTCAACCATGCCAGAATATATTCAAGAACAAATTTTGGTTACAAACTTTGGATGGGGAATTTTTTTCTCAAAAATGACAGCTATAACAGACTTACCAGTCACTGATGGCCATCTAAGAAGAAGTTATTCCATCTAAATAAAGTCTGTTGAATAAACATTATTACAATTTGCCTTTTTGTAGAAAAGGGAGATTTTACCAGATCAAACTCAATGTCATTTTATGTTTCTTGCCCAATCCGAGCTGCCTTGTTAGGTCTGATACATTGTTACTCTTGGTCCACAAATTAAAATCTACAGACTGCTAATAAAAGGATTGGTTCATTTTGACTAAAGAAAATGAAGAATTCCAATAATTTTTGGCCTACTTATCTTTCTTTTTCTTTTCTTTCTTTCTTTTTTTCTTTCTTGTTTTTCTTTTCTTTTCTTTTTTTTTTTTTTTCTTTTTTTTTTTTAGGCACAAATCCTGATTATACTCACTACAAGGCTGTGACTCCAGTGGACAGTTGCCCCAGTCTACATTGGCGTGACCCGCTATATTCTTGTCCAATTCCACCGTGAGAGCACCTTCAATACAGCCCAGATAGCCTCTTCCTATCGTCAGTGGACTTCCTCCAGTAAAATTCAAATTTTTAAAATCACTGTTATATGTACTATTGGCTATAAGGCGTTCATATCTTTTATTCGAGCCCTGCTCGATTGTTAATGTGACGTTGCCCACCTGGTATTTTAGGCTGAGCTTATACCAATTGTTATTATTCAGATCTTGACCGATTGTTAAAATATTTGACACAGAATCTTGGGAAGCATTCCATTTTAAAAGTAAAGATCCATTTGTGTTTACATAAAATTCTATGGAGTCCCCGTTTGCTCCGTGGTCGGATAAAAGTTGCCCTTCGGAACAAGTCCGAAATTGAAAAGTAGTCCTTTTGTGCACGTCAAATGTGTTTGTTGATTCCACATATGCGGATGAGTTAAAATAGGCCTTGTTCTGGAACTGTGCCTGCGTGAGTTGACAGCAGGCCAGCAACAGCACCAGCAGCAACATCTCTGAAATGACAAGAAAAATACTTCAATAATAATTATGGGGCATTCCAGGGTATTTGTGTCCTGGAGAAAAAAATTTTTAAATGCACAAAAACCAACAAAAGTAACATTTTCTGAGAAAAAAAGGTTTAGAAAATTGATAAAAGATTGTGAATTCATGAATTTATAGAGCATTTAAATTATTTATTTTTGAACATGTAGTGTGACTTATAAAAGAATAGATTAAATAGCTATAATATGAGGTGAAGATAAAAATTAGTACATTAGAAATGGTTTTAAGGAATGCAATTAGCAGTTGGTCAAAGGTTTCATTGCATAAGACAGGGGAGGTTAATAACTGAGGGAGATAAACTGTAGATCTACATTCACAGTATTTATCATTCCACAGAGCACAGAAAAAAGCCACCTCCAAACTTGATGCCCCTGTCAGCAGCAATTATTATTTAACATGTATGTCCTGGGGGAGAAAATTGATGTCAAAAGTCCTGAAGTTGACCCATGTGTGAAACAAGTTATTCAATTAAAGCATGTGGTGTATTCTTAAATGTGGGTAATATGATAATATCTACACCCATATAACCCACTTTCTGTTCCACCCCATCATTTCAGTGGCCTATGAGATTACAGACCCCTTAGCCCAGTGTATTAAGTGGGTTGGGGGGTTGAGGAGAGGGGAGGAGAAAAATTGTGGACCAGGGGCAGATCCGGGATTATTTGAAGGGGGATCCACCAATTTGAAGCAGACCCCCCCCCCCCTTGGCGTGGGATTCAGGACCCGAAAAATTTTGCTATTTCAAAGGGCGAATGGTGTCATTTGGTGGTTTAGAACTAAGATTCAGCTAATCAAAATTCTAATTTCAAGAGGGGGCCATTGGATTTTCTGAAATCAAAGGGGAGGGGGGTGGTCAAGACCACCACCACCCTCGAAATCCGCCACTGTGGACTGCCCTCTTTTTTCTCCTCGGACTGGCTTCCAGCCATACTTCTAGGACACGATCCCGTTTTTCTCCATCACAACAGAAAGCAAATGTGTTAAACCATTATAAGGTATTTAGTGACCTGGAGATATGTTATCAGTGAACTTAGTCAACAGAATGATACGCAGCTCAATAATGTACTGAGATTATTTGTTAATAAAGGATGATAAATTATTTTGTGACCCAGCAATGAAAACTAAATAGTATGATTAACATTTGCCCAAGACTTTTTTTTTGCTAAATACACTGTACAGACATTTTGTTCCAGAAAAAAAAGGATCACCAACATATTTGTCATATTTCATTTCTTTAGCCAACATAAAACTTTTTTCTGATGTGGTTTAGGTGACTACACGCCACCGTGAGCATAGATTGTGGTATTATTATGTAGTGACATGAGAACATACACCAAGAAGAATGGCCCCTGTGTGAAGAGACCACCTGTATATACATGTTGACTGAGGTTGAAGGGTCCTGTGGCATTCTGACTTCACAGGCAGCTGCATACTGGGGCACTTGTTGTTTATAATAAAATATTGTGACTAAGGAAATCATGGAATGTCACACTGACACTAAAAATATGCAGGCAATACTCTATGAATTAATATAACAGCAGAAAGTCACCAGTTCAGCAGTAAACCACCTGCATGCATGACAGAATGCAGCAGTGAAGTGAAGCAATACAAAGGTGGGCTAGTGCTGAGATGACGCCTGTCCGACAACTTAAGTTGAATGGTGGCACAAGTTCTACATCCAGAACTGGTCTCTCTCTGTTGTCAACCTGAACATACCAGTCTCGTTCTAACCACCTTGTCCTCCTGACCCCCCTCCTTTATAACCTGATAACATCTGCAAAAGGAGCTGCCGGTATGTTTCAGCTTGGCTACATAACAATATTACGGTATGTGTGTATGTGTGTGTGTGTGCTTGGACAGTTGCCTTTCACCTGGCTACACCTGTCTACAGGTTGAAATGCTGACTCGATGCTAGGACCCAGCTCAGCATTATTAGCTAAAGATTCACATCATGTCTACACTTCAAACGATCCACCTTTAGTGTTACTTTGATCAGCACAGGTAAATAACCCTTCTCTTAGTGAAATGCAGTTAGCTGCAGGATAAGCCTAATCAGATTATCCGTAATATCTTGTGATAGGGTGGCAGAGCTGAAAATTTGTCGTCACCTCTTCGCCTGCTTATCTGCCCTACATCGCCCCCTCCCCCCCCCCCTCGACTGATCCTATCTGCTTCACATCTTCAAGCCAGCTGTTGAATATCTATTACTAGTACCTGCATTAAGTCAATAAGAGGAATTTTTTTTAAGAAAGGTCCTTAGAGCCTCAATCTTTTGTTAACAACGGAGTAATTTTTCTTTCAATTCACAAAGCGATGTCAAGCTCCAAAATGACCAGCTACTTGTATCACCCATCTGGAAACAACACTATACCCATGGCTCCTATATCCTCATGAAATATTAAAATATTTCAAACCTTTATCACTCTCCATCTACCTGCATCAAATAACTGATGATTTTCCTCACACTTTAAACAGTTAATCCTGCACTGCAGACACTGTGCACAGACAAATATATGTGCATATAATATAAGAGAAGTAAAACCCTCACCAGATAAATAGCACTGATAATATCTGACTCTGACCAGATTATGAAATAAAACACTGTGGTAAGTTGAAACAAAGGACAATGGCACTATATATATATATACCTTATACTTATGGCCATTGCACAGGAAAATCTAAATATATCATAATAACATACGAAGGCTCAATCTTTACCACTTTGCCCTTGTAAAAATTATTTTAAAATGTCAAAAACTGTGAACATGAACTTCATGTCTTCACCACTGACATGCAACAGATTTGGACTACAAAAAGGGGATACTTGAAATTATATCGCAGCACATGAAAATGTTGTATTTTTATTCAACTGGCTACTAGAGATCTAATCTGTTTATTTTAGTTTGTTTTTGTTTTTTTATGAACTGAATAGTGTTTTCTTTCTGCCTTTTCTTTAATTGCACTCTGCAGACAGTCCTGAATATTTTTAAGAAGGACTGGAGATCAGGGACTACACACATGGAAAACTCCCATACATCCTGCCATCTCTTCAACCTGATGCTTTCTCATTTCTACAATAATCAAAAACCCATTCTCAAAAAAAAAAAAAAAAAAAAAAAAAAAAAACATTCTCCACCACAAAACCACAACATCAATAACCATTTTCACTTCTTTCTATTTGCTCAGCCTCATCTCTCCAGTCCAGTGCATCTCTAAGACCTGGACATGTCTCTAGTGTGCCTTCTGACAACCGCACCATTGTTCTGAATACCATAATACTCCAGCCACACCGTTGAGCCGCATTCACAACCAAAGTTGATCCACAGACTAACAGATCCTCAGATCAAATGTGGTTTGACTTAAAAGCTTACTGCCTAATTAAATCCCCACAGGGAATCTATTCAGTGTCTATTGGAGGATTATGCTGCATGCTTTTAAGTGGGTCGGCCATATTTGATCCACGGATCAGTTGGTCAGGGGATCAACTTGTTCTGATTGCATCCTTATTGTACACATATCACTACTGCTGATATATCCATGGTGCTGTGCTCACATACATGGGCCCATTCGCAAAGAAATAATCGTTCTATGTACATTGATCCAAGTCCATGGGATTTCTTGCTGAATGTAATCAGTGGAACACTCCTTCTCCTAGCGTTGAGTAGTGATTACAAGGGTATGTTGGAAAGGAGGTGTGTTAATCTGTTTATCTGATTGCATTCAGCAAGAGTCCAGCAGAGTCGGATCGATCTATGTGGAACAATAGTTTTATTGGGAATGAGCCTTATAATACTGTCCCAAGTTATACTGCTATTTATACCTATTAATGAACAATCCGTGCCATACAGTCACTTAGGCCTTCACACTTAAATACTGCTATCATCACATGGATAATGTCCACTTTGAGGTTTACAAGATGGACATTTTCCATGAGGTATATGGTATTTTGATTGAGTGTGGAAAATAATCTCAGCTATATAATTATGTTAACTGGCTAATTCAGTATGGCATACTACATTCCTTTCAGCCAGGTTAGACAACTCTAGCCTGTGTATGTCAGTGGACTGAGGTGTCTGTAAGTGAAAATAACTGTCATCACCTACAAATGTCAAAGACAGACAGGATTCTATAGGAAATTGGCCCATGATCCTGTAGTACTTTTTCATTAGGGTTATTTAGATTCTCATGGGTGTAGTGTACATGATCTCTTCCAGTTATATTTATTAGCTGTGTAATTCTTAATAAAACAATACTACCCTTCTCCCAAAATGATATGATTTAAACTTCATCAAACATATGACTCACTATTAAAGTACTTGAGTCTCTTCACCAGAAATAGCATCTTGCATGACTGGTTAGTTAATCACTTGTTTTTCAGATTAAGTAGTTTTAAAAAAGAAACCACTTTCTTAAGTCTTATAATTCACACACCCAAACTTCTGTGTACTGCAGAGCACATGGTGATATCTAGAACTTGACACTGTCCAGTCTGAGACATACTGCCAGGATATTTATTTCACTGTAAAATGAGTAAGAAGAAATAAAAAAAAACCTGTCTGGTAGGGCCTTTATTAGCCAAAGCCTCCTCAATACTTGCTTGATTATTTGATTAACCCTTGTATCAGATAAGTATTAACTTAGCAAACAATGCTGTAATGAAAAATGTTGGTTAAGAACAGTTTTAAGATGCTGGACCCAGGATTATTGTTTGATACTTTAGATAACAGAAAGCCTCTGGTGGTAGTAGACATATTTGTGAACGGTTCTACAACTGCTGACAAGTTAAGGTGCAAAACATCTTTCTCTGGAGCAAATATGGATAGTCCAATGCACAGGACTACAAGAATTTGAATGCTTGTATCTACCTGGATATATAAGTCTTACAGCATGACCCCCCTCCTCCTCCCCCAATACCAACTACAGTGGCTGGCACAGCTAATAACAGCTGCAG